TTAAAAAATGGTACAATATTTTAATCCTGAATATTACTTGATTAAGAGTATGCAGATAGTACTTCTTAGGGTGCACTGAGTGCACTTTACATCTTTATTTTAAATGGTTTTCTACACCTTATGTTTACAGGCTTCCTTTTTCATGAAGGTAACGTATGGAAAACTCAACATGGTGGCAGTTCTTATCACCAGATGTTGATATTGCGTCCAAGAACTGCTTACCAAAACATTTGTCAACTGTTAGAACATTTGCTTTCTGTTTGTACATATTTTCCAAAAATATAATTTATATGGCGTGATTGAACGGGATGCAATCTTTTGTTGTCTAAAGGTGCTGCAGTTAAAAAAAAATATCTTCTCTCAACATGGCACTTAGTGGAATTTTTTGGATTTTACTTTGAAAACATTTAAAAAGTGTAAAACCATTGTGACAATATCCAGTAGTTTATAAAAGAGGAATAATCATCAGCTTGCATTTTCCCCATGAATGATTCAGAACTGACATTTGATTTTCATCCTGTTTGAGTGTCCTCCTATACTGTACTTATTTCGGCATAGTTCTTTTGCAGAATGTAAAAAAAAAAAAGGTAATGATAATTAGTTTTATTATATAAGTGTGCTGGCTGTAAATGATGCTAGATATAATATTTTATGCAATTAAGGGCTTATGGAACATATTAAAACTTTTTTACTTTTATGGTAATAAGGAATGTTTGTGCCTCCATTATTGTATTGCTTCTGGATGTGAAGCTATGTAATTATTTCTGCTGTTATATTAAGTGCCATACTTTTAATAAAGCAGATGTACATACGAAATTATCGTAACTGGTATTTCCTGAAAATCAAACTTAGTATCTTCCTTTATAATGTTTTGAGGTATGAATATGTGTGTACTTATTGGCAGTATTTAGGATAGAATTTTTTATTTCTATACTGGAATTTTAGTATGTTCTTTGTTTAATGATTGAATATGAAGTACTTGATGTATACTGTGTTTATTAGGTGCTCATTGGTTTAGTTAATACTTTTATTTTTCCTTTTTATGGAATACGATTAGCTGATATATATGGTACAGTATATATATAGATATATAGATATGCATATATATGTACACACATATATATAGACGTATTTGGCTGCAGGTACATTAGGTATTGTGGCTCTTCCATAGGTAGAGGCTGACTTGATATTTACCTTACCTCAGGATGGGGCTGCACATCTGGGGCTAATTTACTCTTGAGCCCTAAACAGAAGATGTTCATCTTTATACCAGACACATAGGTTTTCAAAGCTAGGCAGACCAGGGCTAGAGTTTCTGTTCTGGTGCTTAACCAAATTCTGGGTCTTCAGGTTTCTGGGACATCTTCAGAAGTGCTTGCTACCTTGAAACGCAGATTCAGCACTTGGAATATATTTTGTTTTTTGATATTAAATTTTATACAGAAAACTTTGGCCGTTGTGCTAGTTGAGCTAGTTGGAGTTGTTGGTTTTGTTTTGTTTTGTTTTCTATACTTGTAAAAAAAAAAAAATACAGGTTCACAGTCCTTGATATACAACCCTTGGATCTAGATGTATTTCAGAATTTGGATTTTAGCAAGTTAATACAAACATTCCCATCAGGGTTGGTAGCACTCCTAAACACATTAATATTTCTGCAGTGAAGCCTGTGAATACTTGCACTGACTTGAATACCTAAGCTTAATATGTAACCTCACCTAAATTCAGGTCAGATCTCACCACCAGTAGTTTGCTGCAGACGTATTTGGAAGATGTTCATATTTTTGGAGCTTTCTAGATTTTGAAATTCAGGGTAAGGAATTTCTGACATGAACTAATTTTGTATTTTATTTTTTTATGCTTTCCCTTTCCGCTTTTATTAAAAGGAAAATGGAAACTTGGCGCATGTGTGGAGAAGCTGCTCTGAGTAGCACACAGTCTAGCAAGGATTTGGGACAGGCCTTCCTGCAGTCAGGAGCAGGTGCTGTGCTGCCTGGTGAGCAAAGGACAGAAGCCTCCCCCCACAGGTTGGCAGAACTGTTCTCAGCCTCCACAAGGACACTCAGCGAGAACCTGTGCAGCCCAGATAGTTTAAAAAGCAACGGGGAGTTGGAGGCCAGGCAGTGCCGAGAGCCGCAGGATAACATCGGCAAAGTGTTCCATTAGCGCTTAATAAAGAGAGGACGTCATGGGCCTGATGTGCGGGTGTGGGGGATTCGCTTCCTTTGGTGCCAGATGACATGTTCTGTACTTGACGAGTTCTGTAGATCTCGAGGACAGCATTTGCAGTGCTGGTAGAAAAGAGTAATTAATAGATTTTAATTAGCCATGTATTATTTGAGGTTCTATGAGAAACAGAACCAGCAGGAGACATACAGATGGACACATGGAGAGATCTCTTTCCAGGAAGGGACCCGTGATTGTGGGGGCTGACAGGTGCAGAATCCAGAGGGCAGGAGGCTGCCACGGCTGCACACACTTGGGCAGGGCAGAAGTGCAGCCTACCCCGGGATATCCGCATGGTTTGGCTTCCAAAGGCTTTTTCTGTTAATCTTGTTGGAATAAAAATGGCTTAAAGTAGTGTCATTCATTCATTTGTAAACAGCCCCCCCACCCCACCCCGGCACTGTGTGCAGGCCTTATGTTAGGTGTTGGGGGTGTGAAGGTGCATCCTGGATTTAAAGGATCTGCACTGTTTAAAGGATTTGCACTGTTTGAATATTCAGTGCAAAATGGATTTTTACTTAGTGATGCCCTTAGATCCTCTTGTTCCACCTGCATGTTTGCACCTGATAGAAAAATTTATTTGGCTTTGAAATAACAGCAAATCTGATGTGGAATTTAAAATACAGCACACTGCTGAATATGAGTAAATTTGATGTCTTGAATCAGGGAAAGAAGGGACAAAAAAACTACATAAGCACCACCTAAGAGCCTTCACGTGAGGGGCTCTGCCTTTCAGAACAGCTTGGGCTCTTCCTCACTGATCCCCCAAAGCAGTGGAGACTGACCAGGTGGGTGGCAGGGGCAAAGGGTGGGGAAGGACCTGAACATGCCAAGCTCACTTGTGAATTTTACTGTGAATTTGGGTGCCTTCAGGAGAGGTCTGGTCGGTCTGTCTGCTCTCTTCCACGTGGTGAGTTACAGGAGTGCGGAGCCCATAGTTCTCCCTGAGCCAGGAGATGATCCTATGATTCAGGTCTTAGGGAGTCCATTTTGCTGCAAATCAGACTTCTTTACTATTAAATCTGATAGTTTGGTCTTCATCTTTCTGACTTGTGTCTACTCAGCTGGTTTGGAAGTTGAAAAAGAGATAAGGGCTGAGGTTGCTCAAATATCAATACCCAATAGTCTACGACCACTTGGAATATAAGAATATTAGTGTACATAGCTAATTAGGTATGTTCATTTGGTACGTTCATAGTCAGGACCTTGGACCTTTAAGAACAATTTAAATTACATTGCATAATATGTTTAAAAGGACAGGTTTATGTAATAGGTTTTAGAATACAGCCTTTCTAAAAGTTTTGATTCTAACCAAGGATGAATTCCTTATCACTGGAGAATGCAGCTATCCACAATAACTTCTTTCATGATGATTCCAAGTAGCAAGGGAGCAAAAAAACAAAGCAAAAGTAATTTACATCTTTTATTTAAAGGTTTCTATCCTTCATAATTTCTCCTTGATTCTTTTTCTTGACCTTGTGTCAACTGAACTTGAAGGTACTTGTTTTGCACAAACATGGAGCAAGAGAGCAAATAATGAAAAAACAAAGGCAGTACTACTTACTATGACAGAATGTTGTAGCAAGAAAGCAGACATTAAGAAATCAGAACTTTAAACAGAAAAGGTGAATACCAATTTATAATCTAAAAAAACCCACCCCCTGTGAAACTTTAGGCACATTATATTTAGGGTCGAGTTCAGGACACGCCTAATTTTTATTCTGTAATTCCAAGTGTTAATGCACATAGCAATTTGAAAATCCAGGATTTGCTGTTAGTGGGCTATCCTTTTAAATGAAGATCTTATTCAAACAGCATTAGAAATAAAGTGTACATGGGACACCTGGGTGGCTCAGGGGTTGAGTGTCTGCCTTCGGCTCAGGTCAGGATCCTGGGATCCTGGGATCAAGTCCTGCATTGGGACCCCGCAGGGATCCTGCTGCTCCCTCAGCCTATGTCTCTGCCTCTCTCTGTGTCTCTCTCATGAATAAATAAAATCTTAAAAAAAATAGAGTTCACTTTTCTACATTCAGTTCTGAGACTGCAAAAAAAAAAAAAAAAAAAAAAAGAACCTGAACTTGCGTTTACAGTTATAAACCCTATAAATAGAAAGTTGCAATGCTGTTGGCCCTACCACATCTTGTGCTGCTCGGTGATTCTAATTATAACCAGTAAAACACAAAACCGAACCAAGCCAAACGCATCACTCTTTGACAACTGGCATTTTACGGAATGAGTGGCTTCCACAAAGCTAGCCTGTTTTCATAGGTTCAGTGTGTCCTATTTGATTTACATAACAACATATAAACAATTGGTACTAAGCTTCATAGAAACACCCAGTCTGTTATACTGTGTTAAGAGGTAAATGCACAGGCTGGGCGGTTATGAGTCCCACCACCTACTAGCTGCTTGATCCTGGTGGATGACAAAACCCTTTTGGACTCTGGTTTCCTTACTTGTCAAACGAATATAATCCCATTTACACAATTAGCACATAGGCTGGCATTGGATAAAGTGAGACAACATACCAGAGTTTTTCAAAGTGAAAACAGCTGCTCACATGGAGGGTCACATTTCAGATTAATTTCACTAGGTACTGTATGACCTTCTGACTTGTCCTAGCTGAACCTTTTTAAAATCATCCCATAACTTGGGGGAAACATAATACCTACCTCAAAGCGCTGTCGTGGGGATTAAAGGAAGCAAAGACGAACAAGTTTGTGAAAAATGTTGGTTGGTTTTTTATTGCTTATTGACTATGTATAAAGAAAACATGATTAATTTTTGTATAATTTATTCCTTGACAACACTGAAATTCAGATCAACTCAAGTCCTCTAGAAACCTGAAGATTTCTTCTAAAACCTGACACACTTTGCATTAAAAGGGAGAACTTGTGGGTCTGACTGGGAACACCTTTGGAGGAGCAATGTATTATTGATCAATGCTACTTTTTATGGGAAGTTAGTCATGGCTGAACAGCATTAATTCATTCCATACGCGATTCAGTATTTCATTGTAGATTGATTATTCACAAGAAAGAAGAAGAAAAGTCACAATGGTTCTGATGAAAATAAACCTAGTGGAATACCTCCCCCCCCCTTTTTTGCTATTGCTAGGCTTTTGTGTCTAATATAGGCTTTTGTCTGTGCACACCATTCTGAGATCATGTATTTTCATCAGAACACCTTCACTGGCCTATTTTTCTGAGTTCCTTTTGAAAGTGTGACCTCCTACTTCCCATCCACTGTGCACCATTCACCAGGATGTCAAGTAGCTCAGTGTGAAGGCTTGAGGTCAGCAATGTAAAGCTCACTGAAATGAGGCAGGTGCTCCATGGAAGATGCAGGTGGTTTAGAGGCAGATGTGACTGTGTTCATGGCATGTGGTACCCACGCCAGCCACGGACAGGTAGAGCTTCCCATCTGGACACACACAAATTTCATAGAGTCTCTGTGAGCTGCCGGCGGGACCCTGAGTCCCCTGAACCAACTTGGGTAAACACACAGTTTCAGCATCAAGCACAAGCTGTTTGGGAGAAAAGGAGAGATGAAATGGTAGAGAGGAAGGAACACAGTAGTGTGAAACTCCTATCTCAAAATGCTCCAGACAGGTTGGTTTCTTTTCTGCATAGAAAATGAAACAGGCGCCTGACTTAGGTCATAATGATCAGATTCTCTTAAAGCTTATTTCTAGGGGCACCTGGGTGGCTCAGTGGTTGAGCGCCTGCCTTTGGCTTAGGTCATGATCCCTGGGTCATGGAATCGAGTCCCACATTGGGCTTCCTGCATGGAGCCTTCTCTCTCTGCCTTTCTCTATGTCTCTTATGAGTAAATAAATGAAATCTTAAAAAAAAAATAAAGCCTATTTCTAGTTTTCTAGAATTTCTAGGCAGAGGCTTAATAATTCCTCTCCAAACTGAAGTTTTTTTTTTCTTTTAAACCCATTGTGCTCAGGCAACCCCGGGTGGCTCAGCGGTTTAGCGCCGCCTTCAGTCCAGGGCCTGATCCTGGAGACCCAGGATCGGATCCAGTCCCATGTCAGGCACCATGGAGCCTGCTTCTGCCTCTGCCTGTGTCTCTGCCTCTCTCTCTCTCTCTCTCTCTCTCTCTCTCTCTCTCTCTCTCTCTCTCTCCTCTCTGTGTGTCTCTCATGAATAAATAAAATAAAATCTTAAAAAAAAACCCATTGTGCTAGTTGAGCTAGGAACATTTATGATGCTACACTCTCAGAAATACCTTTCAGAATTACCTGCAAAAAACTCTTTTGATTCACATTTATTTTGTGATATACTTTAACGTTATGCTAAATCACCTCTACCTCATTAGTGTAAAGTACAAGTCACAGAAATAAAGTCATCTTAATAATTTTTACCTGTGAATGTTGGAATTTCAGTTGGTTTTCTTTTCCTGTGAGAGGTGATTGACTTCATCATTAGCTACCATTTCCCTAACTTCTAAAATATTATTTGAAAATCAGCTGCCTTCTCTTAGATGTGGAAAAGCAGTAGACACTCGGACTAGAGCCAACTACGGTTAAATGGAAGCTATTGGGATTTTTGTTCCTCCTATGGTTTAATTAAACTGAAATGTAAACAAATGGCCCTTAATTGGGGTTTGGAAATCTTTTGGGGAACTAAAGACTGTCACACTGGATACCCTAACCTTACCAAGGGCGCATCCACTTGTTAGAAGGAATTGAAGTATGTCATGGGCGCACATGTTTTTCCCCCCACAAACAAGGTTGGACTCTTCCTTTATTTTACATACTCTCACCCACGAACTCTACTCTTTTCATAAACTGATGTTTGCCATCTGTACTCCCCCTGGGGAAGTTGACCACTGCCATGTGAAGCCATGGGTGGAACAGTATTAGAAGCAGAGCTTTATTTACCTTGTGGTCTGGGACACAGTTAGAGTAAAAGAAATGAAATCTATTTTTTTTTTTTTTTAACACAGAACCTACTTAGGCTATTGTCCGATGCTTTGGATTTGTGGCTACCTAGTCTTCCCTAATGTGTGTTAGCTTTTCCTTGTTGGCTTCTCTGCTCTCCCTTATTATGGTTAATCAGTGAATTTTTTTCTAGTTGTTATTTTTTTCCTGCTCTTCTAGCAAACTGTCATCACTGGCAGTCCACATACTGCATCCCTGCTCACCTTCCTTTATCTTTATGGGAATATATCTTGTGGGAGACCAGCCACCCCCACACTTTGAACTAGCTCCCAGTAATAAGGGATATCAACTTTAATTATGAGTCAGGCTGTGTGCTACTATAAAAATGATACCTTATTTGTGGAAATAAGTGGTTATTATTTCAAAATTAAAATTAGTATTTTTTCAAAATAATACATCTTAAGTATGTAATAACATTATAATTTAGTAATGAGATTCCAGAATTCTTGACTTCCATTTTGGCATTTATCTGCTCTTGGCATCATAACATTTTAAGTTATAACTTAAAGGGGCTTCACTGGATGTCTTTTATATTACACTAGCAGGCTGTCATTGGATGGGTCCTGTCCACACTTAGGAGCTGCCTCTCATTGTCTCCATTTGCTGCCTCAATCACACCTTCCTTTTAATAGTAAGTGAATGTAATTTCAAATATTACCACCTATATCACCACACTGGTATCTCATAACTCTGTGACATAGTTAAGCAAATATTATTTTTCCTATTTGACAAATGAGAAGATAGGTCCAGGTGTGGAGAGGCCTGTTAACTTTCCTGAACTCATACAAATTCATGAGTTGATCTAGTGCTAGAACAATCAATACTGAGTAGTGAGTGCTCTACTGCTTCATTATGACTTTGGTTTTTATCAATGATCTTTTATTTATGGACCTGAAGTTTCAGATTTTATCCTTATTGTGTTGGCTTTTAAAGCTTTTATTTTTCATATTTAATTTTCATTTAAACATAATATGATGTGAGCAAGCATAGTGCTCAAGGCAACAACCGATTATGGCCATCATCTACAGGTAACTCCTAGTGACCACCGTATTGAGAGAAGTTGGATCAATAGCAGGTAATGGCAGAACTGATATTCTCTGTCAGCTCTGAAAGTCATCAGGACATACAACAGGATCTTCATACACTGAACTCACCATTCCATCACTACTTTGAAAAATGATATCCATTTGAGAAAGAGCTTCGATTTTCCCAGCATGAGCTTTAATATGAACACCCTTTGGGGCATCCATGCTTAGACTCCGTGTGGGGGATTCTAATCTGAAATGAGGGAAAGAAACAACAAAAAATAGTATTAAAAAAAGTCACCCCAGGAATCCCTCATTGAATGGATTTGTATAGAAACTACAAATAATAAAGTATATAGTATCATTGTCATTTTGTTGTAGTGTACATTCTTTATTGACAAATCCAGAAATAATATGCAATGAAGAAATTAACTTCCCATTAATAAGAGTCTACAAAATTAATATCCTCTAAAAACATAAAAAGATTACACAGCTCCACCCGTACATAGTAGTTTCAGATGGCAGGGTTAAGCACTCTGCATATCACACTAGAAGAAAATGCTATTTGTGAATAACTTTGTAAAGCTATTTCTTTAATGAAAACACAAACTTGTTTAGGGAAAAAGGACAAACTTAACGGTAACATGTTCATTTGCTACCTGCTCATAAAATAGAATGTAAACTTATTAGGTTTTGTTTGCATGTTGTTTGTTTTTAATTTAGGAGGATTACAGGGCAGATGTGAAGATTTCTTTTGTGAAAATTCTGAACTGGTAGGGTTGATAGACAGAATGGAGACTGGCTTTAGCTGGCTTTGTTTATTTTATAATTTATCAGAATCTCCTTGTGTTAAAGTCAAACAGAACCAGGAATGAACATATGGACCAGAGAAATTCTATTTGCCTCTGCCTGAAAAAATACTAAATTTCCACCAGGTGGCATAACATGATCATTTGAAAGGTTTTTCAGCTACTCTAACCCAACCTAAATCAACCCAAAAGTCCAAAAGGCTGAATGGATTGAAATGTTTCAAGATAAGTGAGAAGTAGAACAGGATACAAACCAGTCTGTAATCCTCCCACAGCAGGGTAATATCCGTGTAGACATGGGTATCAAAGAGAAAGGGGAGTGGCTCCAGAGGAGAGAAGTACTTGGGTCATTAATTGCATTTGAACTGAGTATTTATTCGGTGGATGTTTAACTCAGATGAATTGCTGCCTTTAATTGGCAAGTTTTTTTGTCTACCATTCTTTGTTATAGAAAACAAAGTTTTATTTTCTTGTGTACATTCAATATGTAATATTTGATCTGTTACACATTTTGAAATTTATATTTACCTTGAGTACAAGGAAACAGAGACATTCATAGAATTTATTAGTCAAATTATGTTAAGCTTAGGTTATAGGAAAACACTTGGATACATCCAGATGATTTGGTTGGCTGACTGCCTGCCCATTTTGCTATTTTACATCTGCTAATCGTCTACATTTGTCCTGCCCGGATTGATAGAAAGGGGGAGGTGGTGGGGAAGGAAAGGAAGGGAGGAAGACATGTAAGCAACTTTAGATGTCTGGTCCATTTCAGGTAATCCGTTTGTGATCTTAAAGATCCTAGTGAAGGTGAGTTTGTTTCTCATCAAACAACAAAATGACCTCAACAGGACCAATTACTAGTTTTTAACCATGTTATAATATACTGCTTCTGGAATAGCAAATTTCTTCCCCTTTGCATTGTTTCCAGCCCTTGAGATGAAATATGTCAGTTCAGCACAAGTGAAAACACTTTTTACCAAAAAAGTCTGTGATTACAATGTCCTGAAGCATACATTTCCATGAACATAATTAACAGTAGTCAGATATAAAATAACTCAATTATTTTCTCTTTTGTTATATTTTAGTTTGCTAGTTAAATATCTACCCCTTTCTTCAAATAGTTGAATATATATTTACTCATGACTTATATGAGGAACAAAAAGTTTTGAGCACTGATTCAGAAATTTACCAAATAAGTAAGCTGTGTGTATACATATATGCATATGTATATGGTAGACACAGTATAAAAACAGTAGCAAACAAGGCAGATGAGCTTCTTGCCTTTAAAACCTAGCATTCAAGCAGCTTAAAGAATGTAAGCAGAGGAATGACAAGATTCCATTTTTGCTTTAAAAAATATCACTCTATAAATTCTGGTCAAGACAGATGAGCAGCACAGCTCTGCCCTCAGCCAGCAATTACATATAAATGCTGGTTAAAATATGATCAAAATTATTAAAACACATACTAGGCAAAAACAAAACAAACAAAACCAAAAAACAACCCAGAAAGACAAAGGCATTTTCATAGTGCCAGAAACAGAAGAAACTCCTAGCCAGAGTGATGAGTGGGTGCTGAAAGGCTGAAGCCCTTGGAGTTTATGGGCAGATAAATGCCTTGTGGGTTGGTATTTTCCATCTCTACAGGGAAGGAGTTGTGGCCAGCTGTGGGGGGCAGGGGAGGAGTGTTTGGAAATGTGCTTTGGGCATACAGAAGGGAATTGAAGCACAGTATGATAACAGCCCTAAAGTAGGCTGCTCATTCTGGGATGCGAAGAGAAAGTCTTAAATCACGCATTAGTGTGGAATCCAAATCCACACCCTATTCAGGCAGTTTATAAAACCAACATGAGAAATATCTAGGAACACAGGCTTCAGAACAGTGCCCCCTGCAGGGCCCTGCCAGAAGTGAATGTGAAATTGACATGTAAAGGCAAATGTTGAGTCTCTATGACAATTGCTCCCAGATGAAGAACAGAAGAGGATGAGCTGTCAGACAGAATTTTCAAACCACATGGGAGGATCTATCAATATGAGGAACTAGAGATAACAGAGCAGTCAGAAAGGGACTAACACTAAGTTTAGAGCATCCAAGGAGATAAATTAACACTCACAGAAGAAGAGCAGAATAGAAAAAGAAAGATTTAAAAACCAGGCAAGTAGAAATTCATGAAATAAAAAAATTAAAGTCTTGTAGTAGACTGAATAGTAGACATGCCACATATCAAAAGAGAATAAGAACCGATAATGTAGATTTGGTAGTAATGGTTGGGAAAACACAAAATGTGAAATTTGAGTTACACATTAAACTTTTTTAAATGCATAAAAACAAAGTACAGAATTTCAAAGGAAACTAGGTAACTTTGAAATACAAATATAAAAATATCTTTAAATGGGTGATACGCAATTTGTGATCTTATTTAGTAATTAAATAAGATCTGGCCAGAGGACTTACACCTAGTGTAATCTCAAAGCAGTGAAGAGCAGTAATGTATTTTGAGATTTTGCTATAGCCTTTACATGATACTAAAGTATCTCTGGCTTCTAAAGATGAAAAAGTCAAGGAATCTGCCCATACTACTGTGGTTTGTTGCCTCTCATTCATATTTGAAGGAATGCTAAATTTCAATTAGAGGTCAGTAAAAATGAAGGATTTCTTTTTCATATTCAAAATCATTAACCCACTAAATTCTATTCTTGGACACCCAGGGGATCAACAGACCACAAGTAAAGTATGCCTATGCTCTAGAAGATGAGAAGACAGACAGGAAGAGGTAATGTTTAATTAGAATTGAAAAATATCATGAGTTCCTAAAACTGAAGAGGTACACCAATACCCAAGTATGAATTAAGACATATCCAGTCTCCAAATGCTTTGTGGCAAAATTGCAAAACATTAAAATTATGAGAAAGCCTTCAAAGTATTCACAATGAAAATCAAATTGTTTTCTGACCAAAGACCCAAAAGAAATGAATAATATCTTAAAAATGCTGATGTAAAATTATTGTCAGTCTAGAAATATATCCCAACTTAGCCATCATTCAACTGTGAAGGGACTAGACATTTCAGGCCCACAAGGGAAAGTTTGCTGTCTAAGCAGATCCTTAGTGAAAAAAAAATATTTATGGAAACTAAAACCAGAAGAAAGGAGTATTTTGCAAGAGCAGTTTTGGACATTAGAAAAAAATCAACACAGTGTGGGAATAAAGCTAAATCTGTATTGCCTGAAAAATACAACGAGAGAGATGAGTAAAAGCTTTGCAAAATATGTTAAGTGAAGTTTGGATAGGAATAACTTCTAAATTTTTTGGTATAAGAAGAGAATGATAATGACAAACTTAGTTAGAAAGTATTAATTTATCTCCATGCATATAAAATATAGAGGGTTATCATTAGGGATGCCTGGGTGGCTCAGTTGTTGAGCATCTGCCTTCAGCTCAGTGTGTGATCCTGGGATCCAGGATCAAGTCCCAAATCAGGCTCCTTGCAAGGGAGCCTGCTTCTCCCTTGGAGAAGTGACACAGGAGTGACACAGGAGGCCTGTGTCACTGCCTCTCTGTCTCTCATGAATAAATAAATAAAATCTTAATAAAAAAAGGTTATCATTAAAAGAATGAAACCAGAACCACTAGAGGGAAATACTGCAGGGAGAATAAGCAGAAGTTTAATAATCCAACTAAAGGCCAGAAAGAAGAAAAAATGAAAAGAAAAAGTACAGTAAATAAAATAGGACATCACAGAAATACTTCAAATAAATCGGTGATCATAATAAGTATAAATAGTTAAATTTACCTATTAAAAGTTAGAAGCTTTAGGGAATTAAACCTCAAATCCAGAAATTTAACCCCTAGAGAAACTGAAATATAATGATATACCCCACACAAAAAACCAAATCTGATTGGATTAAACACCTTAATGCAAAAAAATGAGTGTTTTTGAAAAAATTCACACCTACCCCCCAACTAATGCCCAAGGAGTATTTTCAATATACCCAAGTTCCTAAGGGTTTATTTTCACCATTCTGTAATTGGATGAAGCTTTTTAAAAAATATTTTATTTTTTAAGTAATCTCTACACCCAACGTGTGGCTGGAAACTTATAACCCAGAGATCAACAGTTGCATGCTTTATTGACTGAGCCAGTCAAGGCAACCCCCACCCCTTTATTTTCTGTTTTTGGATGAAACTTTCAACTCTAAACTGTTTTTACTTGCTGAATTGACTAAATCTACTATGTTTTTTTTTGATATTTTATGATTTTTTTATTTTTTCTTAGAATTGCTAGAATTAAGGAAAACCAGCCACACCATAAACTGTCAATTACCATGAGGCACAAATTGCTTTCCTTGTTTAAGTAGACACAAGGTGGTAACCTATGATAAATGAGAAATAAATACTTAGGATAAGGAATATAATTATGCAAGCTGTGTTAGATCAATCAA